TGCCACCCTGTGGCCTCAGAATGATACAGGTCATTTATAAAGCATACACTTAATTTCGTACTTTCAACAAAGACAGTTTTACTACTGAATACTTGAAGTGTGCCTATAAGCTTTATTTATTGAAGCTCAAACATATACAGAATTTATGGACGTAAGATTACAGTGCCACAGCTGAGTGTAGTATGTACTAACTAATGTGATCTTTAGTCTAGTAAAGAAGGCATGACATTTAACTTTAAATCATAGCTGGTATGTAAATATGTGCCTGCCTTGGTCTCTTAGGTTTAAAGAAATATGTTTTGGAGTGGTCACAGGTGGCTGGGGTAATAAATGACTTGACAACTGACCTTGTACTAGATATTCAATACTAGAGTGATTTACCAAAAAAAAAAAAAAAAGGCGTATGTGGTGTATATCTTTATGAATATCTTTATTTCCTCCACAGGGATATCTGAAGAGTTTATCACACCCATGTTTAACTTCTATAAAAGCATTGGGGAGCTGCAGATGATGCAAGAGGAACATGCTCTCCTCACTGCTATCACAATCCTCTCACCAGGTGAGCTGCCATCTGTCACCTAATGTTTTAAAAGTTTCAGAATGCAGATCAATGTTAGTTTATCAAGTTAGTTAAATTAGTTTAGCCTGGTTTAATTTATTGCTAATCAAGGCAAATGAAAAAATGCGACTGCTCAAAAGTTTGGGGCTGGTATTTTATTTATTTTCTATATATTTTTGAAAGAAGTCTCTTATGCTCACCAAGGCTGCATTTGTTTGATCCAAAATAAAGTAATTTTAATATATTTAAAAATGCAATTTATTCCTGTGATGGCAAAGTTTAATTTTCAGCAGCTATTACTCCAGTTTTCAGTGTCACATGATCCTTCAGAAATCATTTTTGTGCTGATTTGGTACTCAAGAAACATTTCTTATTATTACAATGTTGACAACAGTTGTATTTCTTAATATTTTTGCGGAAACCATAATAAATTTTTTTAGAATGATGAATAGAAATTTCAAAAGAACAGCATTTATATGAAATAGAAATCTTCTGTAACATTATAAATGTCTTTACCGTAACCTTTGTTCAATTTAATGTGTCCCTGCTGAATAAAATTATTTAACAACAAAATAAATCAATCTTACTGAGCCCAATCTATTAGTTACTAAGGCAGACATGTTCCAAGTAACCATCAATGCAAATGCATAAGCATCATGTGATGGAAACATTTTAACCCATTTAAAACCCAGGTTTTTATGTAATCAGTTTGAACTGTTCAAATAATAAGGTAATAAATGGTTAATGATTAACGGAGGTCACAACTGAAAAGCACATTTTTGTCATTGTTTCATGCTTCAGAAGGCCACAACGAAATAAATTTGTTTCATATGACTGAAACTGTTCTATCTAAACAACAGACAGACCATATGTAAAGGACCAGCAGGCAGTAGAGCATCTGCAGGAGCCCATGTTGGAGGTGCTGAGGAAGGTCTGTAAACTACAGCATCCCCACGAACCCCAGCACTTTGCACGGCTTCTCGGTCGTCTGACTGAGCTTCGCACCCTCAACCACCACCACGACGAAATGCTGGAGTCATGGCGCATGAGCGACCACAAGTTCACCCCCCTCCTCTGTGAGATCTGGGACGTGCAGTGACTTTGTGGAAGAGAAAATGTACAAAAAATGGGCAAGTGAAGGAGAAATGCCAGAGACTTTTACTAAGCTGCCAAAGAGAGGAGTTTACACACTTTTCAGAGAAGTGGACTGTTAAAGTATGTAATGTAAACATAATATATTGTCATATTGTCAAAAACAGGAAATAAAAAGATTTTAAGACATTATCAGCTCTTCAAGAAAGGATTGATGTACACATTTTGATATTGTAATGCCTTTGTAAATGTTTACCTGGCCTTTGCTACTTGGCACCTTTGTTTAAAATCTGCTTTCCTTCATCTGAGGATTTTGTGGCTTTTTAAAAAAATTTTTATGTCTGTTTGTGTTCTGTGTGATTCATCTAATATTTTAATAGATTTGAAGAAATTTAGCATTACATCATTTTCTCACCCCTGCAAACTGCTGATAAAAACATCACAATAATCCATAAGGAATCCACATGACTCCAGTCCATCAATCAACATCTTGTCAAGTAAAAAAAAAGGCCTGATTGTACGAAACAAATCCATAATTTGGACATAGAACTTTATGAGTTTATTTCTTCTGTTGGACATAAAAGAAGAAGAATAAAGAAGAAATATAAATTCTATGGAAGTCAACCAGAAACTGATTGGTTACCCTCAATTTTCAAAATATCTTCTTTTGTGTTCAGCAGAAGAAAGAAATTCATAGAGCTTTGGAACAGCGAGTAGGTCTAAGTGATAGACAGAATTTTCTTTTTTGGGTGAACTATCCCTTTAATATCGTAATATTCTAGGTGGAGTCATTGAATGTGACTACCATTAAAACTAATATGTGTTTAATTCCAAAAGCTTGGATTGAACATCTGCAGAAATGAACCATGTCCCCCATGTTGCACAGATCCTGGACTCAAACCACCAGCCTGAGATGAATGGCCCAGACACAGCCTTATACTGTATTTTCAGAACCCCTCGGCTATGGCTATAACTTCAGTATAATATTTTGTATTTAATAATTAATGTTTATAGTCCGGTGGATACTAATATTGTGCAAATAGAATGTTCTGAATATTTATTTAGTGTATAAACCTGAATGTTCTGTTGTAGAATAAAAAAAATCATGCCTGCCAATTAACTGATTAAATAATTTTTTATTGAATTAATTACATAATATGCCAAGTAATAATCAAATAATCACAATCAATCACATATTGAATATTAGCATTGAATATTAAAGACAATACAAGAAATGGCCAATTATGTATTGTTTGTTAGTTATTATATTATTTATTTCCACTTTATTATTTCCATTCCATATACCATGCCACTATATTTCTTTCTTTTTAAAAATTAACCACACTAAAATAACATGTTAAATTGACAGTCATATAGAAATATTTTTAAATCTAGTTTGTACAAATTTACTGTAGAGTGTAAGTATAAAAATATTAAATATATTAAAATGATATATGCTTTTTTGAAAATGTCTCTCATTGTGACTCGGCAAGTTTTAATGTTATTGAACAGAAGTTCAGTTTCTGTGAATACTTGTATACTTGCTTCTCTGTCTGAGAAGACAAACGGAGCGCCATCCATTGGTTGGGTTTTTTTAATGCTAGAAATAATTATTTTATTGTTTTATGTGATGTAAAATAAAATTCATAAAGAGGAAAAACATAAGCATTATACTATGAATCCTTGAATACTTTGAAACAAAACACATATAGATCTCAGTTTTGTGCTAAAATAAAAAATAAAATAAACCATGAGGAAGATTTCAGACACTTTTAATATTTGTTAAAGTACTACTTGTTAACAATAGTAAATACAATGGAACAATAAAATCAGCATCAACTGTGTCTATGTAGATTTTTCTTCTAACTATATGAGACAGTCACACTAATATAACTTGCTAAACAATTATAGCTTACAATAAATAGTAACTTTATAATAATGTTCATTAATAAGTTAACAAAAATGATATGATGCTTAACAGATCAGTAGTTCATTTACATTTAAATATGAATATATTTTAATAAAGTTCCAATTTAACATACATTAACTAACGATCTGCTAAACATATGTAAGAGCTTTTTGCATTGCTCTTAACCCCATGTTATCGTCATTCTAATCCCCAGGTGAAAGTATGTTTCACACTTGTAATTTAGAAGTGGGGTTAGCACCGCTTTTTCCCGGGGTTATAAACCCTGCTCTGGAGCAGGTGTCAACCCCACGTTGCGGTGTATAATGTTACGGCTGGGCTTAACAACAGACGCCCAATCGTGTGCCTCGTATGCATGTAGTATAAACAGTCCTTTTGGTGTCTGAGGGAAAATGTCAATTGGTGATGGAAAACACGTGACTTGAAGTAAAGAAGAGACCGTTTTACCTTTATAGTTCGAAAAAGGTCCATTCAAGAAAAAAACAAACACTTGATAGTGAAACTTGATAGCAAGAGCCTTTACGTGAACAGGTCACATGCTGAATTCGTCCAATCAATAAAACTGACACCGCAAATATGCAAAAAAGAACTTTAACCCAGGGTTTACACAGCGTATTAATACCCACGATTAATTGTTAAAGCAGGATTCCGTTTACCCTGGGTTTAGAATGACCCAGGGTTAACTCAAAAAGCCCAAATGCTTGTTAAGTCATTAATGAAGACCCCCCTCAAAAAAAAAAAAATTATACGATATTTATTTACATTATGATTGTGATGCGTAGAAGCACATAACAATAGTACTATGTTAAGAGGTACAAAAACAAACATATTTAGAACAAAAACAAAAGTCTGAAGGCATAACTACACTGTAAAAAAAATTCCGTAAAATTTACGGTAAAAAAACGGCAGCTGTGGTTGCCGGAATTTTACCGTAAAAAATACGGTAGCAACGTTTTAGGTTTTACGGTTTTAACTTAAATTTACAGTTAAATACCGTAATTTCATTAACTGATATAATGTTAATATACCAACCTATTGAAGTACTGAAATCTGTTTTGTACCTTTGTAATACACTGATAACCACCAAATGCAGGTGGTGATGAGAAAGTCACATTTTGAACCAAAGCCCATCACAAACAGCTTTTAAATAATAACATATATAGAAGGCGCACAGTGTCATTCACACAAACACCAAACACCATCATGGTAACACACATGAAACTGAAATAATGCAATAAACAGTCATTTAACAACATTAAGTGTAACACACAATCCTAATATTCAAAACTAAGAAGAAAAAACTAAGAAGAAACATAGTTATTTCAACAAAAAAACATCAAATTTGAAATGTAGTTAGTGTAGCATTTTCACAGTCTTTTACCATTTAATTCACGGTCATTTTTTACAGTGTATGAATTAATCAGTACTGCAGCTGGCTTTGGTTCTCAGGGGAAAGTTCTGTCTCTGTTCATGGATTCACCATCAGGGTAGACCAGGAAACCAGAGAAGGTTGTGTATCGTCCCTGGTTGCTGTAAACGGCATATCCGTCATCCTGCTGACTGTACAGCCAGACACTGTCTCCTCTTTTCAGTGACAACAACAAACTCTGACTCTGCATCTCTCTCTGCCGTGACATGTCCTCATTGAACACCATGGCCCGAACCTCCCCTCTTCCCATCATAAGCTTCACTGAAACCGCACGACGAGGGTGCTTTCCCACGGTAAATGCAAAGTAATATTCACCAGGGAAGTGGCAGGTAAAACGTCCGGATGTTATGTTAAAATGGCCGCCTATGTTGACATACTCCACGTCAAACTTGAGAGCTTCTCTTTCACGACGCACTCTGCTTTCTCCCAGCGCTGATGTAGTTCTTGCCACTGAAAATGCAGAACGTGGTTCCTCACTGGTTGTTCTTCTTCTCCAATCATAATAAGCATCTACAGGGGGAGGACAACCTGGAAGATGAAGGCCTGGAGGAGATAGGTGGTTATTGAGATATCCAACAGAGGATGTAGAGTCTGGATAGACAAGATAACCACTAAATGTGATGTATGGTCCGACGTTGCTGTAGATGGCGTAGTGGGGATTGTCCTGAAGGAGCAGGTATACTGTATTCATAGGTTTCAGACTAACCATCACGCTCTGGCTCTGAACCTTGCGGCCCTGGTTCTGGTATCCATCATATGCAATGGCCTGCACCTCCATCCCGTTCTTCACCAGCATGACCGACAGCATCTTCTTTGGGAACTTTCCCACTGTGAATGAGAAGTAGTATGCACCAGGCAGGCGGCAACGGAAAGTGCCCGTCTCTGGATTGAAGTCTTCACCAATGTTGACTAGAAGGTGGTCAAAGGTCACAGCACGCTGAGTGCCACCCAATATGCTGCTGCTGCGTGTGGCGGAAAAGGCAGAGCGTAGGCCTGTTGTCATTGGGCTGATGTTGAAGGAAGCCACAGAGCCCAGATAGATGATCAGCCCAAGTAAACAGGAAACACATCTGTTTGGTCTCCATAATGTCACACAAGCTGTAGTAAAAAGACATTATCGTCATCAAAGGTGTTTCATGTCAGTTTTTGGCACTGTTAAAAATGTCAAAGATAGTTCTCAAAAAAACCAACTAATTATTACAAAAATTATCAGTCTGTAATTTTATATTCTGCACCACACATACACTTTTATTTCTGTGTAACACTTTAATAACAAACATTGTCCTTGAATTATTTTTATTATGTGATTAATGACCATTAATGTTTTAACCCCTCTGGTGGTCTTCAGTCATTTTAGACTGAAAAATTTTAAGTTTTGACTTTTTATATATTTTTATTTCATTAGAATGGTACTGATGAAGACCAAACTTGGTGACTTTTGTGGCACTTGCTATGTGAACACACACATAAATTTGGACATGATTAGAAAAGGTTAAATGGTCTTAGAAAATAGTCACACTTGTGATCTTCATAGTCAAAAATGACCACCACAGGAAACAAGAAATATAAAAATACAGATATATGAAAAATACAGAGCAATTTTCTGGTGTACAATCTACTAATCAGCCATGATAAAGTAATCTTTGATAATGTATAAATATACATCCAAATTGAAAAATCTAATAAAAGTAAGTAATTATGAATAAAAATACTCTAATAAATAACTAGGAAATATATTTTTACATTACTTTCATTTAAAAAAAATTCACTTCAGGCTGTTTTGGATCACAAGTGTGACCCGTAAGTGAGGAATAACTAAGGGTTAAATAAAGATTTTTCTCTAATCTAAAGTGTTTTTTTGGTCACAGCACGCTGAGTGCCACCCAATATGCTGCTGCTGCGTGTGGCGGAAAAGGCAGAGCGTAGGCCTGTTGTCATTGGGCTGATGTTGAAGGAAGCCACAGAGCCCAGATAGATGATCAGCCCAAGTAAACAGGAAACACATCTGTTTGGTCTCCATAATGTCACACAAGCTGTAGTAAAAAGACATTATCGTCATCAAAGGTGTTTCATGTCAGTTTTTGGCACTGTTAAAAATGTCAAAGATAGTTCTCAAAAAAACCAACTAATTATTAAAAAAATTATCAGTCTGTAATTTTATATTCTGCACCACACATACAGAATTAATCACTTTTATTTCTGTGTAACACTTTAATAACAAACATTGTCCTTGAATTATTTTTATTATGTGATTAATGACCATTAATGTTTTAACCCCTCTGGTGGTCTTCAGTCATTTTAGACTGAAAAATTTTACGTTTTGACTTTTTATATATTTTTATTTCATTAGAATGGTACTGATGAAGACCAAACTTGGTGACTTTTGTGGCACTTGCTATGTGAACACACACATAAATTTGGACATGATTAGAAAAGGTTAAATGGTCTTAGAAAATAGTCACACTTGTGATCTTCATAGTCAAAAATGACCACCACAGGAAACAAGAAATATAAAAATACAGATATATGAAAAATACAGAGCAATTTTCTGGTGTACAATCTACTAATCAGCCATGATAAAGTAATCTTTGATAATGTATAAATATACATCCAAATTGAAAAATCTAATAAAAGTAAGTAATTATGAATAAAAATACTCTAATAAATAACTAGGAAATATATTTTTACATTACTTTCATTTAAAAAAAACTCACTTCAGGCTGTTTTGGATCACAAGTGTGACCCGTAAGTGAGGAATAACTAAGGGTTAAATAAAGATTTTTCTCTAATCTAAAGTGTTTTTTTTTTTTCTTTTCACGTTTAATCACTCAAAAAACAACTTCAAAGCCCTGGCCTTCTGGCGTATGGAAATGTGTAATGAACTGGTTAAAATGCCATATAACCATGTTAGGAAGTTAGGTTTAGCCCTGTCAGAATGGATCCTGCCATTCGTATCAAGTGCTCAGTGTAAGCAGTAGTCCCACTAATTCAGCTGGCATTGTCTGTTCACAATGTGCACCAGGAAAAGCCAATAGATTAGACATTGGTTCATCTGCTCCTATGTGCTGGAACAAAGGCATATTTGGGAGGGTGGATTGAAACATGTCATGGGTGCAGATCCATGGGAGACTTCATGGTCAAGTGAAGATCCAGTCAGTTAGTAAAAGATGGAGAGCACTCCGAAGACTATATAATAAGACACATTAAGTGTCAATTAGTGAACAAGAGGTCACTGGTAGTATTTCTTCTCGTTTTGACTTACTGTCAAAATTATTCAGGTTGACAATCAGGAAAGGTTTAACCAATAATTCCTACAACTACACAGTATCATCATGTGATGTGTCTCTCTACTTTCTTTTTTATTACTGCTTTAACTATTTATTGCTTGTAAGTGTAAAATATTGTTTAAAATAATTATACAATTGTCCCTTCAAAATATTTTAATATATTCCTTAAACATTTTATTGCACACCCCAAAAATAAGTTTAAGGTTTTCAATATTTTTAATTCACAAGATTACTACAAGTCATAATGTATCAAACTAATTTTTTTAAAATATATTTTTAAAGGCCTTTTGGACTCCCAGAGCCTTCAGTATTTCAGTTTTAAGATCTATTTATCCGTACATACTTAATTAATAATAATTAATACTGTGATGTGTAAATGCTTATATAAATATGAGTAAATATAAATGCTTATTATAGTAAAAATGCAAACCATAACATAAAAATTATTTAGATTAAATTTTATGACTCATTGAAATTGCTAATATTAAACAGGTTATGTTACTCAATATAAATGAAATATGGCATTCTAGAATGCACTGTATATTCAAATAAGTAAAAGAAGAAAAATATGTATACTGTCTATATCACATAATGTTTGAGGATAAATCATACTGATTAAAAATAATAACTAATGTTGTAAAATAATAACAAATTTTCATACCTGGTCTAAGTATCTGAAGAAACTTCATTTCTGTGATGACCTGCTCCTCTGTGTCTGTAAGCCTTTGAAAGACTCAGTTTGTACACGGCTGTGAAGAGGTCCAAATGTTATTTCTGTGTGGCATCTACTCCAAAAACTAGAGTGCCCCCATGTTCAAATAAAAGAGGTATTAGGAGGGAGGGAGAGAGAGAGAGAGAGGGGAGGTGCTTCACGAAAATACTTTTTCAACCTATATCAAATAAATACATTTCATGATTTCATTACGTTTATAGTTTTATGTCAGAATATTTCATACTACCAATAGCCTACCAGCTGTCCCGACAGTGCCATTATAATAGGTTTACAGACTGCAAATGTAGAAATTAATTTTTCTGGAGTCATTTATGTGCATATTTATCAAAAGTGCTAATTTCTCAATGTTCACCTTTAAATGAAATACAGGACGTCCTCAGTGCAATGCAGAAAAAGTGTAAAAAGTACTGCACAGAATGAACGACATAAAACACTTTAATCATGTGTTTTTACGGAACGTGTGAAAGAAACAGCTTTCATTCAACACAAACTACAACTTCCATATCTTCATCAAATTCGTGCGTGCGTCTGGACGCAACGCGCCGGAAGGCTTGTGTGCACTGCGTCTCCGCCGTCAATGCAAACGAAGTAAGAGGCACCGAGAGTCAAAGCTAAAATCCGCATTCAAGACAAGATGGCCGGGTTGCCCCGCAGGATCATTAAGGTAACCGTGAAGTGAGACACACTACACGTTTTTAGCCACTCTTTTTAAATCATAATACCACGAAATCCTCAAATATCATTGAAACGATCAGCCAAAGAGAAGCGACGGCTGGCTTAGCGTTTGGAACTCTGTTTGTTAGCCACTTCCGTTTCGGTACATGCACTCGTATCCCGAATATGGGTGGGTTAAAAATACATCCACCGCTGTGAAAGATGGCGAAGGGCCTGCGTCTTATTCATTGCTACTTTGAACCCAGAATCAAAAGCATTAAGAAATGACAAACGTTCTCACACTAACTGAAGTCTAAACGGTGAGAGAGGCACGCATTGCATTCATTGCGTGCGCTCGAGCTGCTGTGTGTGAGCTCGCGAGCTAACCGCTCCAGAGACGGCTAGCTAGGCGTAAAACTTAATAAAAATGATCGAATTTAAGCAGTCACACAATTATTTACTCAACGAATTCACTTATAGACAGTCATATGTTTATTTTCTTGCGTGCAGGATGATTATCTGGCCATCTAGGATACGACTATAAGCTAAAGAATTAGGCTCCCCCGCTTCCTGTAGGCTAGGGAAGCTGTCGCGGTGCTTCTGCTGCTAAATGAGCTAATGACGGCAGGCCCCAAACAGCAGAAATGTCAAATAAACAACATAAGAGAATTAAAGTAGACAATAATTGAAGAACAGCACATTCTAAATGAGAACTGCCTTTCAGTTACTCAATATAAATGAAATATGGCATTCTAGAATGCACTGTATATTCAAATAAGTAAAAGAAGAAAAATATATATACTGTCTATATCACATAATGTTTGAGGATAAATCATACTGATTAAAAATAATAACTAATGTTGTAAAATAATAACAAATTTTCATACCTGGTCTAAGTATCTGAAGAAACTTCATTTCTGTGATGACCTGCTCCTCTGTGTCTGTAAGCCTTTGAAAGACTCAGTTTGTACACGGCTGTGAAGAGGTCCAAATGTTATTTCTGTGTGGCATCTACTCCAAAAACTAGAGTGCCCCCATGTTCAAATAAAAGAGGTATTAGGAGGGAGGGAGAGAGAGAGAGAGAGGGGAGGTGCTTCACGAAAATACTTTTTCAACCTATATCAAATAAATACATTTCATGATTTCATTACGTTTATAGTTTTATGTCAGAATATTTCATACTACCAATAGCCTACCAGCTGTCCCGACAGTGCCATTATAATAGGTTTACAGACTGCAAATGTAGAAATTAATTTTTCTGGAGTCATTTATGTGCATATTTATCAAAAGTGCTAATTTCTCAATGTTCACCTTTAAATGAAATACAGGACGTCCTCAGTGCAATGCAGAAAAAGTGTAAAAAGTACTGCACAGAATGAACGACATAAAACACTTTAATCATGTGTTTTTACGGAACGTGT